TGTGCATGAGATTTTACAACCCATTTGAATAAAGCGGATTCCAATACAAGGCTAAAAACTAATAAACTAATCTGCGAAATGCTTGCCATAATTCTATTTGGAGAAACCCTACTCACATTCAGAAAAGCAGGATGTCCTTCAAAAGCGATGAAAATTGAAATTTAAAATATGGAAAAATTTTCGACAACGGCAGTCCTAACTGATCTGTTCTGCAAAATAGTGAATAGAAGAGACCACAATGGTAGTTGACATTAACGGACTGATCAATACTATGCCCTGACACCTCGGTGAGATAACTACTTAGGAGGTCGATTGGTCGCTGATAGAGTAGAGAGCCGGGAAAACTGCGAAAGGTCATAGAAAGCTCCATGAGGTGATTTTCATATGGATAGGTAGCATTTTTCACGAGGATTCGAATGGTGTGACTTTGACTGGGATTTTCTTATTATGAAAAACACGTGAACTTGGCTCTGAAAGAAGTCTTGAAGTTGGCAGCCGACAACAACAACCAGTCTGAAATATGCAACTGTTTTCCACAAAATTGTTGGACAGCACAAGACGTTCTGTACGTTGCTTTTTTATGGAACTTATGGGGCCACTCAGAGCGCTGGAAATCCTGTTTGAAAACGCTCAAAATCGCGTATTTGCCTAGTATCGCACGATGTGCTTATTTCAAGAAGCTGAAAAACTCTTCTTTTGACGTTATTCTTGAATTTCGTTCGTTGGGAAAACATGGCTCCAGACAGTAGGCCCGTTGTGCTCGTGTGGTCCTAACTGGGCCAGTGCTCGAGATTTATCGACTGAAAAACGATATCAATCAAAATGACGTCGAGTGGAAGCTCTCTATTTTCAGAAAAAATGGCACCGTGATGATCAGCATCACTTGAAAAGCACAACTACCCAATTCATAATCATTTCGTACGCGACACAGTGCGTCATTTTATCTCCGAAAGACTTAACTTTCAACGATTGCCCTCTGGTTACAATTATAGCGAGACTCGCTCGCTAACGAGTGTCCTCAGGTACTTCGATGGAAAGCGGGGGGCAATATTAGACTTTTTCAGTTTTTCAGGACATCATCTTATAGATCTCGACCAGCTGTTCAACAGTGTAAGTTCTATATAAGAAAATATAACAGAAACTGATTTATAGCGAGAAAACAAAAAAAACGCGGGTTGGGTTTTTTCACTTTTCTGAAAATTAGGGCGGGTATGTAGTTGGTTACCTTTGCCTCTTAATAGGCTTGATGTCACCCTATTTTCCTCGTAAGTTAGACTGTGTGAATTCTAAGTGATGTTTAATTCAAATTTTCACCTGAACTTTCATATGAAACTCTATCGTTGGTGATACCAAAATGATCACGGAATCATGCTGTTTTCAAATATGCTGGTAATTCTGACTTTGAAACACTTTGGTCCAAGGTCATGGTCCAAGTGGAGGGTTTACGACATGGCCATATCCGTAGGTAACACCTTAGGTGACAGGAGACTCAATCGTGGTTTTCCCTTAGAATCAGTTAGAATAGTAGGAAAATGTAGAAAATTTGTACACGGTTAGATTCATAA